CAGCATTGTGCTCTGGATGAAAGTGCCTCTGTGTGTGTGAAGGGCAGAGTGGTGCATGGTGTGGCCTGGGACAGACTGAGTGCCAAGGCCACGGGACCCACAGACCTTCCACACAACTCATCCCCGCTGTGCAGAGTGGACACACACACACGCACACACACAAAAATATTACCAACTGTCCAACTGACGCACACACAAATAAACTCACCGTGCAGCCGGGAGTCCTCTCTTTCCCAGGTCTATTCTGACCTTGTCTCCAACGTGACGATAAATATCCACCAATGTTGTGATGGAGGCCTCACGCACCTACAGACAGCAGACATTGACCAATTTAAAAGTCCTACACACACACACACACACACGTAGACGCACACAGAAAAGGCCTTCACACTATACTAGTATACCATGAAATGGTATGTGTATTTAAGATTACAGTTAATTTCCATAATAACTCCATACAGATTCCTCTCTGCATCAAGGGTTGTAAACGTAAACACATTAAAAATATACCCTTTAGGGCCCATACTCATCCCCCTACTGGGAGACATCTGATTTGTTGGTCATGTTGTGAGCACTGTTGTGATTGGGTAATGGGATGCCGTTAAAGGGATTCTCTGCAGATGAGGGGTGGGCGGGCATATTGAGGATGTTGATTGGTCGGGACAGTATGTGGGTAGATAATCATTGGGTAGACGATAGGAGCAGATTTCGACTTTGGGGTGCAACTCCACAGGAGGTTAAACCAACCTCTCTCTATCCCTCTCTCTCTCACTCACACATTCAGCTAGTACTGTTGTGTGGGTTAATGGTTGGGTGCTGGTGCTCACGATTCAGCAGTGAAGTTGGGTGGGGGACTCTACAGAGCCCATCTCCTCACTAATAACAGTAATAATCACTGAGCTGCCTTAAGATCCCTGCCAACACTCTAGATGCTGAGAACTAAACCACAGGCTTAGTTACAGACTGATACAAGAAAAACACAATGACCTCCACCCACTTACACTCATTTACAGAAATGACAGCATAAACACATATCCATGTATATGTTGATTATGTCTCATATTGCAAAGGCACTGTGTCTTACCTGCGGGTTCTGGTCTCCACTCAGAGAGCAGAGATGAGGAACTAGTTTACTGAGGCTTAGTTGCTGGGCTCCATACCTGAAAGAGAGCCAGAACAAGACAAGAAAATGAGAGGGATTATATTTATTCATGACGATGTACAGCAAGTATGAAACATCTGATCTGGCTGTCAAATGAAACTCTTGCACCTCATTCACATATTTTCAGGAATGAGGAAGACGCTTCTGTGAATTTCTGAAAGCCTGGTCTAACTTAGGAAAAGGATTTATGAACTCTAGGATATATAGAACTTATTTGGCACTTAAAGTGCACTTCATTCATAATTCAGGACAGAGTGTAGACTGTGCAAAGTTAAAAATTTCATATCGAGCAGCTTTTTGTCTAATTGAGATGGGTCTTTGTTTTTGTATTTTATTTTTGTAGCACTTCTGGTTCATTCTGTTGAGTTTATACGATAAATTACATATAATCTATAATATGATGATTTGATATTATGCATTCATTTTACAATTATTGTATATTTTCATTTTATCACAGTAACATTGGTTAATAAAGTTTAATTAAGCCAACATAAAAATAGTTTGGAGAGTCATCTTGGGAGCTGAATGAGCCGGCTCCTAAAAGAGCCGGAATTCCCATCACTAGTGGTCAAGGTGTTGAATACGAACCACAGTGTTTCTGTATTTGTGTTGCATATTCTTTATGTGTTGTTGCGTTGTTTTTCAATTTACTAGTGGTGTGTTTACTAGCAGCATTTTCTTTTTTATTATTATTATTATTATTTTTATTATTACATCATAAGATGGCTTCTTCTGCTTGATGATGTGTTTTTTAAAATTGCGCTGCACACTGCAATAAACACGTACATACACACAGTCAGACCATTTCTGTGCCACGTTTTATAATTTAGTCTTAATGGATACCTGTGTATGCTCAGCAAAAGTCTTTTGCTTTACTATCAGGTAGCAAATTAGCATTTAGCACAACAGTGTGAGTTTACATTAACAAAAAAAATATTCTAATAGCCCAGAGTGGCTGTGTGTGATAACCTGAAGGTGGAAAATACAGTGAACCTGCACAGGTTTGTTTAATGACACCTTCAGCTGGCAAAATCCATGTTAACTATGACAGCCGTGTTACTACAATTGATGACTGTGGGCTTCTACAACAGCAGAAATAACTATTTGGAGGAAATGAGAACAAACTAATTAATTTAGAAATGAACAGAAGACAAAACATTTGCATATAATACATTAAAATTCTGGCAAAAAGCCGTACACACAGGCCAGAAATCATGTGATATTAATACTGACTATGTGCAAGTAATGCTAGATTGGGAGACATTAATAAGCTGTGAAAAATGTGTCTTGATGTAGCAATAACCTTTGCAAACACACCAATTTCGATTGTATTTCTAGTACACACACACACACACACTCTTTTCTTTTATTTTCCCAGATGTGATCTCTTGGACCTCCTCTGGCTTCTGGCAAAACCATGACCGCCATATTTTCTTTGGAACGTAGTAGTAAGATACAATCCCATTTCAATAACTCATTCATGTTGATTTAAAAAGGCAAGTCCTCCATCAGGCCTGACAGCTTCAGGTCGAGGTGAATTGAGAACAGATTTTTAAAAACTCTCAAGCAACAACAAGCGATATGTATGCCTAAAGACTGTTAACGTCACACGACAAAAGTGGTGGTACCATTCGTAGCACGTGTGACTACAGAGTCACACTAACAGTTAAGAAGATTAACCCCCCGGAGACAGAGACTGTGTGTTTCTTGAACTAACAAATCGGGGCATGCTCAGGGAGAGTAGTAAGGACAACACATGGGAAAAAAATCTACCTTATTTTCAGTGTGCTGAAAATAAACAAACTCATACTGAAGATGTCAGTGTATTAAAATATATTAAATATTAAAATTGCAAAAACCTTCTGTATATACTACACACCAATGAGTTGGTTTATAGGAAGTACTACAATCAGATATATTATATGTTTACATTTTGAATGTATTGTGAGGACTAACATATGAGCCTCTGCCCTACAATTTTTTCAATTATCTAATGTCACCCTGGAAGTGATAGATTAAGAAGGGGAAGTTACTCACGTGCTGAGCGTGGCACTGAGACAGAGACAGATTCCTTCTCGACTGCGGAAGTTCTTGTGTTTAAAACCAGGAAGTAGCCTTTCCCAAACATACTGGACCGAGGAGGAGAGAGAAAAGGGAGAGATGAGAGAAAGAAGGGAGGGAGAGAAATACAGTGTCAGTAGGATCGAGCAGAGAAAGGTTCTGCTAGGCAGCTCCTTGGGGGTTTGAGCAGATTACAGAGTACAGAGGAGGTTACAATCTGTGGAGGTGTGTGTGTGTGTGTGTGTG